CAAAGCAAGATTGCTGGTGAAAGGATATAGTCAGAGACCAGGCATTGACTATAATGAAGTTTTTGCTCCTGTAGCGAGAATGGAGAGTATCAGGATGATGATATCTCTCGCTGCTCAAAATGGATGGAAGATACATCAAATGGATGTGAAGTCAGCTTTTTTGAATGGATATCTCGAGGAAGATATCTATGTGGAGCAACCTCATGGATATGTCGTCGAAGGCCAAGAAGATAAGGTGTTGAAGCTGAAAAAGGCACTGTATGGTCTGAAACAAGCACCGAGAGCTTGGAATAGCAGGATTAACAAGTATTTTCATCAGAATGGGTTCAGCAAATGCCCACATGAGCATGCACTATACTTCAAGGTACAAGGGGGGAGCAATCTTGATGGTTTGTCTATATGTAGACGATCTCGTCTTCACAGCCAACGATCCTCAAATGTTTGAAGAGTTCAAGAAGACAATGGTTTGAGAGTTCGAGATGACAGACATCGGACTAATGTCATATTATCTTGGAATTTAAGTAAATCAAAAGGAGGAAGGAATTTTCATCTCACAAAGTGGTTTTGCGAAAGAGGTCATGAAGAAGTTTAAGATGGGTACCTGTAATCCTGTGAGCACACCAGCAGAGTGTGGAATGAAATTATCCAAGGATGACCTAGGAGATAAAATCAACTCAACGGAGTTTAGAAGCCTTGTGGGAAGTCTGAGATATCTGACTTGTACCAGACCAGATATTCTCTACGCAGTCGGATTAGTCAGCAGATACATGGAGGTGCCAACTATGTCACACTGGAACGCTGCCAAGAGGATACTGCGCTACACAAAACGATTCGTATTTTTCCTGAGAGATACAACTTTCACATGGAGTTCAAAGAAGCAAGCTATCGTGACACTATCTACTTGTGAAGCTGAGTATGTTGCTGCGACATCATGTGCGTGTCATGCAATATGGCTTAGAAAGTTGCTAAAGGATTTGAACATGGCACAGGAAGAATCAACTGAAATATTTGTGGATAACAGGTCTGCCCTGGCATTAGCAAAGAATCCGGTGTTTCATGATCGCAGTAAGCACATTGATACAAGATATCATTTTTTAAGAGAGTGCGTAGAACATAAAGAAGTGACGCTGAACTATGTGAAAACTGAAGACCAGATTGCTGATATTTTCACGAAGTCGCTAGCAAGATGTGTTCGTCAAAATGAGGACGCTACTCGGAGTTACGACGAATTAAACTTTAAGGTGGAGTGTTGAAATTAAAAATAAAGTTTAATTAATGATATATAAGCAAAATATCTAGACAACAAAAATCAGAAATTGCTAGAACGTGGTATGTGTGGAATTGTGTGGAAGCTTGGTTAGTTGTTAGTTGTGATTTAAAAAAAGAAAGAAAAATCAGCACCACAAGACATAGGCTGTTCTCAACTGCCTTCATAAATATGAGCAGATTTTTTAGTGATAGTGAGCCTACAAATAGGCTTTGGATCATGTAATGGATGTGTAGCAGAGCAAAGTAACAAAACAATAAAGAATAGTCCATTCCAAAATTCCTCTGCTTGTCCCAAATAAAAAACCCTCCTTCCATACTTGCTGAATAACGAGAATTCCCCCACAAAAAAGCCCACCATTAGTCTTGTGAATTATAAGGAAATAAATTATTTTATTTTCAACATACACAACAAGCAAGTATCAAAATCTGTCACTCCCAGCTTTTCAGCTTGTCCTTAGTTCTAACTCGATCGTTTCTAAATCGAATGGACTGCCGCCCTGTTTTTATAGAGAATTTGACCATTGGTTTCCCATCCCAGCACACTTCATCATTGTCATTTAACATCAATATGTGTTGGAACCATGTCCTTAGTTATAAGAGTTTTCTCCATACTTCTGATCCCATCCTTGTTCCAGGTAACTCCCAAATAGTCATGCCCTTCAGTCAGTGTTTCTCTAGCCAGGCTACCCAAAAAGAACCAACCCTCGCCAGCAACATCCAGATCATTTTGGCCGCACATGCCACATTCCAAGAATAGAGATCCCTTATACCTAGACCAACCCTCTGACTTAGGTAATGCTATCAAATCCCAAGCAACCTTAGCTTTACCCGAGCCATCTCCAAACCAGAGGAAGTCTGAACAAAACTTTTGTATTTCTTGAATCACTTGCTTTGGGAGAACATAAACAGTCACCCCGTATTGATTAACAGACAATAGAACTGGTGCTATGAGTTGCAGTTAGGGTTTCAAATGAGCCAAACCGCTCGCGAGCAACTCGGAATTCGAATCGGAAAAAACTCGTTCGACACTCGGCTCGTTAGCAAACGAGCCAAGCTTAAGCTAGACCATGCTCAACTTGATTAGCTCGTGAGCTAGCTTGATTCAGTGGCTCGTTGAGCTAAACTCGCGAGCTGGCTTGTCTAGAGCTTGTGAAAGGATTAATGACTTTTCCGAACATGAACAGTATCTTATTAATACAGACATGTATGGAAGTTAACTGCTATTTTTAGTTCTTCGTGTTCTTTTTATCATTTAAATTCTTAAGTGTACACATTTTTCAGCAAAAATGATTTCAAGTCAAGCTCATCTTGAGCCGAGCTTGTACTCAGCTTGACAAGTTGTGTTAATGAGCATTTACCGAGCTCTACCGAGTCGAGCTTGAGCTGGATTATTTTCAATCGAGCCGATCTCGAGCTCAAGCTGAATTATCAAAATTCGATTTTGAGCCGAGCTCGAGCTGAAAATTTTATAAATGAGCCGAGTTCAAGCTGAGCAAAAACTCGACTCAACTCAACTCAACTTATTTGTAGCCCTAATTGGAATCTGCCATCATAGCTAAGTTTATTTGCCCTCTATGATCTTATTTTGCTTGTAATTTTATCCACTAGCAAGCTACAATCAGAGCATTAGACAAAGGCCCAGATTGTAGTGGAAGGCCTAAGTACTTCACTCGTAACTTTCCTTCTTTAAATCCATAACAGGTTAGAGCAAGTTTTCTCCAAGCTTCATTAACCCCTCCCAAGAATACTTAACATTTCATTGGATTGCATCTAAGGCCAGAGAGATGATAGAAAGCATCTAGAATTCTCCTAACATTTTCTAAAGCAAATGCAAACCCATGTGCGAAGATAAGAAGATCGTCTGCAAAGCATATGTGAGTTAACTCTATAGTATTGCATTGAGGGTGATAAGGTAGTTGTTTCGCTTGTGCAGAGCTATCCAGTAATGAGGATAATACCTCCATTGTCAAAGTGAACAGGTAAGGTGAGAGGGGAACCCCCTGCCTTACCCCTTTTTTGCTGAAAAACATCTGAATAGGATTTTTTTCATATTCGTTTATTGTTGTGGCATCAAAAACAGATCCTAAAAAAATGAAGCTACCTTTTTGGAGAAACAAAACCTGAAAACTTGTTTAGCTTAAAAAATGAAAGTAAAAAAAATTGTATTATGAATATAGTTAGACATATATAAAATTTATAGTGACTTTTTAAAATAAAATCTAACATATTGTTTGGTATAAACGTTTTTGTGTTTGAGGTACAAATATGTTGATTTTCACTGGTAAATTTTGAATATAACATACCAAAACATAGAAATTCATTTGAAAATGAATTATACACAGTAATTCATTTGGTTAAAAATGGAGTATAGGGTGAAAATTTCATCAAATAAAAAGATAAATTCTGGGTAAAGAAAAAATTAAAGGACTAAAATAAAAATATTCAAAAAAGTGTGAAATGTCATTCAAATATTTTCTCTTTCCGATAAGAACAAAATTCTTTTTCCGTTAAAAATAACATGTAGCTACTACTTTCTATTTCTAAAGTTGGAAACGAAAAAAAAAAAAGTAAACACATTTTCTCTCTAGATTTCTGAAACGGAAACATGAAATAGAAGTTGCAACTCACTTGCATGCATTGGAATATATGTTGTCATGGGACCATCCATCTAAGCAAGTAAGCTAGAATAGGATCCACAGGACAAATTACTGGATCGTGATTATTTGCAGAGTGTTTGATTCTCCACTACCCCCATATTATTGCCAGAGTTCAAGTTGGTCAGCCTTTAGTCGATCGTCCCAGAATTTTCATTTCTTGGCCGGAATAAAACCATAACTTGCTTTTCCATGCATTATTTATAATTTGTTGAGGAGAGGAGGGAGAGGAGACATCCCTATATACAAAGGACCTGCCACAACTTGCACCATAATATTACAGTACTAAGTTCAATTTATAGTCATAAAAGTTTTGTCGAAAATATATATGTACAAAATGAACCTATTACGTAACATTAAATTTATAAGTTCAGTTATATGATGTAGGTTTTTTTATATAAATATATAATGTAAGTTCAGTATGTATTATAAAGAAATTTGAACAAAATTTTAGTGGCCCAAATTGAATATGTACCGTAGCATAAAATATATAGGTAAAAAATGAATGAATTTGTATAAGTAAAAATGTATAAGTTTAGTTTGTACATAAAAGATGTTTACAAAAATGTATAAGTAACAAATGAATTTGTACCAAAAAATTAAAAGTACAAATTCAATTTCTACCATTAAAGTATTTTTGAATAAAAATAAGGCAAAATACACTTGTATAGCCATAATTTTCACGTTTATACCAATAATAGTCATTTTTGAAGAAATACACAAAATAGTCATTTCCGTCTAATTCTTTAACGGTGTCATCTAACAGACTGACTGGATTAACGGAATAGCTGACCTGTCGCCATTTTATAAATAAAAATATGACGTGGAATTTACTAAAAAATAAAAATAAAATTTTATTTATTTATGTTCTCTCTCCCCTTTCTCTTCTTTCCCCTTCCATTCCCCCAACACCCGCTACTATTCGACAAATCCTCCGACAACCAAAGCTGTCTCAGATCCGCCTCCGATATTCATCAATTCGGCAGCCAAAATCCACCTTAATCACCTAGGAGAAACCCAGCCCACAGATGATTTCCATTGCCTCTGACCCTGCCCCTGTTTGTCGCAGCCTGCGTAATGGCTGAAGGCGAGAGCCAGCAAGCAAATCGAGATGCCCTTATTCCTAGCCCTCACACCACAACTAGATGGATCTGGGTGTGTCATAGATTGGGGAAGGAAACGGAGATGGTGACTGCGAGAGGAGGCGGCGCTTCCGAGTGGCGGTACAGATTTGGGTTTTGAGATTCAATCGTATTCTCTCTTGGGTTTCTACATTTCAGTGGGAAAGGTACGTTTCTTTGTGGGGAAAAAGGCATAGGACATTCTATTGGAGGAGAGAATGGGTGATGGATCTTAATCATGTACCTCCCGTAGATGATTCGGTTCTTGATGGGTTATTTGGTTTCTCTGTTATCCCGATTGAGTACAGAGTGGGGTTTTCACCCGTTGCCTGTCGGCGGCGCTGCTGTCAAGAGGCGGGGCATTTGTCGATTACTCTGCGGAATTGGTTGTTGGGGACGTTGCGGTCGCTGGAGAGGAAGGAGAAGACATGGGAGATGCTGATGGGGATGTGGGAGGTTAGTTTGATGGGAAGGGTTCCGGCGGTGGATTGGTAGGTGCGGGGAAGGTGAGAAGGAGAATTCCAGGAGCATGGATTTTTATTTATTTTTTGCATTTATTTTTTTGTTTGTTAGGTTTTTAGATGGTTGACGTGGAATCTATGTGGCAAGTTTGGCCTAGTTGTTGTTGACGTGTGCGTTGAGGTGGCATCCTAGTCAGCATAATGTTAATCTAACTGACGGAATTTTTAACACCGTTAAAGTTTGTAACGGAAATGGCTATATTTGTCATGCAAATTTCAAAATTCTAGCTATTTTTGGTATTTCTCGAAAAGTGGCTATTTTTGTCACAAACGCGAAAGTTTTGGCTATGCAGATGCATTTTGCCTAAAAATAATGATACTATTGAATTATTGTAAATTTCTTTCACACTCATCGTTATGTTTTGTGAGTGATTTTGTGTTTAAATTTACTGAATGATGTTGCTTGTTTCATAAATAATAAAGTACTTGTTGAATTTTTATTATCTAATATAGTGTTGTATTAAACGGTACAAATACAATAATATGTAGTACGGCCAAGAAAAATGATGATGCTATTCATGTACTAGGTTTAATGTAACATAGGTAACAGGCAAAGTTGGGAGCCGATCTAGTCCGTCATTTAGTTGGATACTATTTTGTAGTTTATAATGAACTCATTCTAATGAATAAGGTTTAGTGTAATGATACTTTTACTAGTGTATAATTTGGAGGTCTGAAATCCAAATTTTTTAAGTAACATCTAACAATAAACAAACGTACTCTTAAATATGAATCTACATAAAATTAACGAGTCAGATTTAGTTACACACAAATACATACTTAAGGATTATGCATCCTATCCTAACCGACAAAATTAAGGAACGAGGACTACCAAGAATTTATGGGGAAAAAACTCAAATTTCAAAAAAAAAAAAACTTTTATCTTATTAGGAAACAGTAAAGGAAAGGTGTAACACTTTGGGAATATTTTCTCCACTTTGCTATATTCCCAAAGAAATTAAGGGGTCGTTTGCTTGTTGGATTTGAAAAATGAGGGTTTTGGCTCAAAAAAATCTTTGGATTTATGAGGAATTTGTACCATAATGGATTTGAAGAGTCTATTGTTTGCATGATAGATTTGATGATGTAATTATGATGGATTTGCTATAAATATAACTAGCCATCAAGGATTTACAAATCCCACCCCCAATATGTGGGATTTACAAGTCCGTGGGATCCACGAATTTGGATCCAAAAAAGGGAACAAATCCGTGAATTCCACGGATTTAACACCTAACAACAAACAATGGACTTGGCTAAAATCCATCATGCTTGAGATTTGAGTTCCAAATTTATGACCCAAATCCATCAAGCAAACCACCTTAAGGATAAAATCTTCCCCGGCCCTCTCTCTATAAGAAATGTCCACGATATGAGCATTGTAGTTCAACTTCCATACAACCATTTCTATTTCCCTTCTCCTTTTCTTCCTCTCTCCCTCTCAAGCTCTCGACAGATCCAGCCGCGATGCCGAAACCACACGTGGCAGTCCTCCCGAGCCCCGGCCTAGGCCACGTCACCCCACTCCTCGAGCTGGCCAAGCGCCTCGTCACCCAATTCGACCTCCACGTCACCGTCCTCGTCGTCACCTCCACCATCCCTTCCCCTGCCCTGTCCCAGCTCCTCCACTCCCCAACCCTCCCCGCCGATCTCGACGTCGTCGAGCTCCCTCCCGTCGACGCCGCCGCCCTGGTCACCGACGAGATGCAGCTCCTCACCCAGCTCGCCATCATGGTCGAGCACAGCCTCAACGCGTCGCTGAAATCCGTCCTCCTCCAAATCGGAACTCCCAAAGCCCTCATCATCGACATCTTCTGCACTCAAGCCTTCGACATCTGCAAGCCGCTCTCGATTCCGGTCTACTCTTTCTTCACCGCCTCCGTCGCCCTGATGAACTTCTCCCTCTACCTCCCGACGATGGATCGAGAAATCGACGGCGAATTCGTCGACCTCCCGGAACCAGTCGCCGTCCCCGGATGCACCCCGATACGAACCGCCGATTTGCTCGATCAGGTGAAAGATAGGAACAACGATGAGTACATGTGGTATCTCCACCACGTCGGACGACTGCCGGAGGCGGCGGGGATTTTCCTCAATTCGTGGGAAGGAATTGAGCCGGTTTCGATTCAATCGCTAACAGAGCATCCTTTCTACAGGGGAATCCCAATTCCGGAGATTTTCCCAGTGGGGCCTTTAATCAAACAGGTGGAGTGCACCGCCGAAATGGACGCCGAATTGATCAATTGGCTCGACGAACAGCCATCAAAATCGGTCCTCTTCGTCGCGCTGGGGAGCGGCGGGACTTTTACTTCCGATCAGATGACGGAGCTGGCGTGGGGGCTGGAACTGAGCGAGCAGAGGTTCGTGCTCGTGGCTCGGTTCCCGTCGGACCGGAGCGCGTCGGCCGCGTACTTCAACGCGGGGAGCGGCGGGGAGGAGGATGGTCCGGCGAGGTACCTGCCGGAGGGGTTTGTGGAGAGGACGAAAGGGAGAGGGGTGGTGGTGGCGTCGTGGGCGCCGCAGATTGCGGTGCTGGGACACGTGGCGACGGGGGGATTCTTGTCGCACTGCGGGTGGAATTCGACGCTGGAGAGCGTGAGCAGCGGGGTGCCGATGATCGCGTGGCCGCTTTACGCGGAGCAGAGGATGAACGCGACGATACTGGAGGAGGAGGTCGGCGTGGCGGTGAAGGTGGCGGCGGCGGCGGCGGTGGTGGGGAGGGAGGAGATTGAGAGGGTGGTGAGGTTGGTGATGGAAGGGGAGAAAGGGAAGGAGATGAGGGAGAAGGCGAGGTTGCTGAAGGAAAGCGCCGCCGAGGCGTTGAGCGTCGGCGGCGGCGGGTCTTGGGCGTCGCTGGCGAAGGTGGCGGAAAGGTGGAAAAAGTGACCGGAGTTTCTCATCACGACGAGGTCGGCCGTGTGAGTAATTTGGATGTTTGTTCAGTGACGTCATGGATATAGGGTTAGACTAAGCGGCACTGCCGTTATTTGGGTTTTGTTTTAATCTTCTTTTTAACTGTCTCTCTCATAAATCAGTAATTGGGCTTGTTAGCGTTGCATTACAGCATTCCAATTCCCAATGTTTTTGGCGATAAGAAGAATCCACTCTATTATTGGTTGTATGTATCTGTCCATAGATTCGAATTTGATGCTGGATAAGGTATTATATCATTGAACGGTTGAAATCTTGGATCAACTTCAATTAAAATGCAGGTGCATAACACTTCAATTACACAATTTTACCTTTCTAATCCACTTTTTTATTCCAACTCTAATACTCTATTCTCTTTCGAATTTAGATTCGCTTTAAAAAAAAAATTGTTCACATAAACAATAACTAAATGCAATACAGTCAACGTTCAGCTTCCATACTTCTTCGTAGAAATGAAATGATGTGTAAAAGAGGAAAAGCAAAAGGAAAACTGAAATGCTCAAACCTTCTACGCATCCTATAACTTCGATAGAAATCTTGTAACTATAACTTGTATTTTGAAAAATATAAAAAACAGGTAAATTAACTCATGTTTAAAAAATCAATCTCGCACACTTAAATCAAGTTAATTAAATATAAACAACAGGTAAATTAACTCATTTTTGAAAGATCAATCTCGCACACTTAAATCAAGTTAAATAATCTTAAACAAGTATTCACCAGTAATAAAATTACTAGACTAAATCTTTATTTGCAGTTTTAGCTTTGTTGCTCGGATTCTATTGTTTGATTTATTCTTTCCCTTCTTTTATTAATAAAATAATAACTAAGATGATAGCTCAGCCCACAACTAGTGGCTAAGTTAGGGTGCATAACCATGGGTGCATGGTTATGCACCCATCAATAACCAAATCTGGACCCTTCATTTAGAAAATCCAGATATAAGAATGGAGAATTAAAGCCCATTTTTATTTTCACTAGCTTTCTTAATTGACTCATATCTTTTTCGTTTTAACTCGGTATTTAGTTTTTTTTGCACAGATGGAACGAGTTCATCGTGCTCTACAAAATGAGATCAATTTTCAATATTTTTTGAGGAAAAAAAAATTATGGCCTCTCGGTACCAACTGCATACCATATGGTATCTTCTTCGTTTTTAATTCGTTTTTGAAAACGTTTGCACAGCAGGGACGAGTTCATCATGATCTATTGGATCTACAAATTTCTGGGTGAACAAATTACAAGACAAAAAATACCACACAATACCATACAATACCACCCTGGTACGAGGTGGTATCTTATGGTATACAATGTTAAAAGTCGTAAATGACAATTAATATACTTCTACTATCATGTATTCAACCATCCTACAGTTTTGGTTTGTGTCATACCACCATGGTACGCTTTTCAAACCATATGTATGCTCTTATTTCAATACCAGTCAATACCATATGGTATAGACTGGTATAAAATGATTCGATTTTTTTTTGTTCGAAAAATATATCAAATTGGATATCATTTTGAAGAGCACAATTAATCTGATCTAACTGTGCAAAAAAATTAAATTTTGACTTAAAACGAGTGAGAAATTGTCCGTCAAAGATTAAGGAGGGGAAAATTAAAGACTTTCTAGGAGAGAGAGGATGCCGATGTGAGCGGGTTACTCATAGTTACTCACCATAAGGTTACTGACCTGATCCGTTCCCCACAACTAGGGCTCAAGTTAGGGTGCATAACCATGGATTATGCACCCATCAATAACCAAATCTGGACCCTTCATTTCGAAAATCCAGATCTAAGGATGGAGAATTAAAGACCATTTTTATTTTCACTAGCTTTCTTAATTGACTCATATCTTTTTCGTTTTAACTCGGATTTTAATTTTTTTTGCACAGATGGAACGCGTTCATCGTGCTCTACAAAATGAGATCAATTTTTAATATTTTTTTAGGGGAAAAAAAATTCTGGCCTCTCGGTCCTAACTACATACCATATGGTATCTTCTTCGTTTTTAATTCGTTTTTGAAAACGTTTGCACAGCAGGGACAAGTTAATCATGATCTAGTAGATCTACAAATTTCTGGGTGAACAAATTACAATACCAAAAAATACCACACAATATCATACAATACCACCCTGGTACGGGGTGGTATCTTATGGTATACAATATTAAAAGTCATAAATGACAATTAATATACTTCTACTATCATGTATTCAACCATCCTACAGTTTTGGTTTGTGTCATACCACTATAGGTGTCAATCGGGCGGGTTCGGGCGGGTTTGGGTTGGGTTCAATCGGGTTTGGGTTCAAACGGGTTGCGGGTTAGTCGGGTTGCGGGTTCATCGGGTTCGGGTTCAAATGGGTTGCGGGTTAGTCGGGTTGCGGGTTTATCGGGTTCGGGTTCAATTGGGTTGCGGGCAAATCGGGTTGCGGGTTCATCGGGTTTTGGGTCGGGCGGGTTGCGGGCGGATCGGGTTTCGGGTTGTTCGGGCCAGCGCATCGAGTAACTTACTCATTAATCGTTACCAACTTACACATTTTATACACTAATTTAAAATATTTTTTCAACTTTTTAACCAATTTAACCTCGTGTATATATATATATATATATACTTAATTTTTTTGAAAAAAACTAGTCAAAATGCTAAACCAATTTGTATGACTTGCAAACTTGTTATGTAATTAATCATAATTGGTAAAGTACACTAGCTGATTGTAATGGTGATATCAATATTTGCAACCAAAAGATACCATTAATTGTTTATTTGATATTTTAGTATTATTTCAGTAGTAATTGGATTAAGATACCTCATTTAGTATAACCATGCAAGTTTGGTATTTGGCGTGTGGTATTTGGCAAAAGCATAGTGATAAAATGAGTTATTTCGAAATAACTCATTGCCCAAGTAACTTTAGTAAACTGTTGCCAAACGAGTTATTTGTAAAATTGTTCGAATTATCCTAAAAATTGAACCATCAAAGATTAACTATCAAATTTAGTAAAATTATTGTGACTTCAGTCATAACGTACTCAATAACATATATCCTATACACTTAGCCTTACCCTCCATCGACAATATTTAGTTAGTATATGTTGTTGATTGTATACCCTAAACCATCAATATATTATACACTAACCACATACCCTAACCATATGTCCTTATGAGTTGTTGATTTTCAAAACATAGATAAAAAGCGATATTTGCTAATTGCTATACCCTAACCATATATCCTATACTCTACACCACATACCTTGTACTCTAACCACGTACTTTGGATATGGCTAATCAAACATGAGTTACTTGATAACATATAGACTTTAAGCTCCAATGCAATTTCACATACAAATGAAAATATGAGTTATTGATGCACAAATGTTGAGCACAACCACAACATGAAATAGAAAGAAAATACCATTCTAAATGAGGCTTTGTACATTAAGAGCTCCTAGCATTAATTCCAAGACCTTCAGTTCTGTACAAAAGAAGCCTTCGTCCCAAGCTGCTGCTCCAAATAGCAAGCTTATGGTACTATAACTGGGAGCTGCTGTTGACAAAGACGAACCAAAAACACACAGAAGCAAGATGTGAGCTGCCCTCATAGTTTGAGCTTGCACTACAGGAAAACCGATTTCTAGTCACGGGATCTTATTCATGGTAATTTTTCCCGTGTTAAGAAGTATGCTAATAGTCACAGTAAACGTTCCCGTATATGATCATATAGTTCTAATCATATAGTCATGGGAAAATTTTCCGTATTTAATTGTATAATGGGAACTAATTTGCCTGTATTTTAGTCTTCATTTCCCGTGATTAATTGTTAGTCACAGTGATTACCGTGAACGATATACCAATTTGCCTTTACAAATTTAGGTGGAATTAAAGAAAGGTAAAGTAAAAGAATTTCAAAACACAAAGCAATAAATTTCGAGTCCATCATAATTCTAAAATACAAACTTAGAATTAATTCAAAATTTTCTCTCTCACATATCAAACATACTCCAAAAGAATTCCCACATATTAACCTAAAAGTCTCAAGAATAGTTAATAAATTGGACTCCATTTGCAACCCAAAATTTTGTGCTGAGCAATTTGGATCTCCCGCTTTTTTTCCCGCCAACCCAATTCTAAATTTGGCTACTAAATATTTGGCTCCACAAAGCTAAAAATTTTGGCGCCCGCGCTTCCCAATTTATTTTACCTAGAAAAACTACAAGTGGCATTACCTTTCTAGCCAAGCCACACTCAGACACTCTCTTCGTTCCAAAGAAAAAAAAGCTCAACAAACTCACCCTTTCGGTCTCTCCTGACCACTCTGCCTTCCTCACCGTCGAGTGTCGAACCCCTCCCCCCTCAAATTCCCTTTCGAGGCTCTCTCAGGCACTCACAGTCACAACTACTCACGGTAGAAATTTCCTGTGATTAAAAAGTATAAATTATCAAGGGAAATCATACTGTGAGTAGTTATAATTTCCTATACGAAATGAAAAAATAATTTTATCGAAGTTTAGAATGAAAAACTTTATTTTGAAAAACTATGTATTGTATATTATAATAATTATTCAAGTGGATTAGATGAAGTTCGGGTTGAGTCGGTCGGGTTACGGGTTAGTCGGGTTCGGGGCAATCGGGTTCGGGTTAATCGGGTTGTGGGTCAGTCGGGTTGCGGGTTAATCGGGTTCGGGTTAATCGGGTTGCGGGTCAGTCGGGTTGCGGGTTAGTTGGGTTGTGGGTCAATCGGGTTGCGGGTCGGGCGGGTTACAAGTTGTTGACCTTTAGTCAATTCGGGTTGCGGTCGGGTTGCGGGTCGGGTTAATCGGGCGGGTTAATCGGGTCGGGCTATGTTTTGACACCTATACATACCACCATGGTACGCTTTTCAAACCATAGGTATGCTCTTATTTCAATACCAGTCAATACCATATGGTATAGACTGGTAAAAAATGACTCAATTTTTTTTGTTCGAAAAATATATCAAAGTGGATATCATTTTGAAGAGCACAATTAATCTGATCTAACTGTGTCAAAAAAATTAAATTTCGACTTAAAACGAGTGAGGAATCGTCCGTCAAAGATTAAGGAGGGGAAAATTAAAAGCTTTTCAGGAGAGAGAGGATGCTGATATCATGCTGATGTGGGCGAGTTACTCATAATTACTGACCATAAGGTTACTGACCTGATCCGTTCCCCACAACTAGGGATGTAACTTTGACCCTAGAGATCCACTCACCCACCCTAACTTAAATTGAAACAAAAAATTTGGTTACCAAAATGTAATTTTTAAATAATCAGTGTGTTAATTTGATTCGATCATATAATGTCTTTATCATGAGCTAAGGGAAATGCATCTCAAGTACGCCAATTAGTAGGTATGACAGGATTAATGTCTAATTTACAAAGCCAAATGAATGAAATGATTGATTAACCCATTCAAAGTAATTTGTGCGAAGGACTTTCTTTAACAGAATATATAATTTCTTGTTATGGGCCCAAAAAAGGGCTGTGGATACGACTGTACAATTGTTTTTTTCTTTCAAATCCACGACGAACCAATTTTATCACAAGTACAGGATTTTATAAAATCCAAATTTATTGCAAACAAAAATTTTCCTGGCGAAACGGGTGGAAACTGGAAAGCAAATGAATCACAAAGACGGAATCTAAACCTTTATTCATTAGTTTTTTTTTTGTTTTGGGTACATAATCGAACTACATACGAAGGAGAAATTTCGTAAAACTTACCTTAATTCCTTTATTATTTTACATATGTTGTAACATGACATGAAAGTGTGCGAATTAAAATACATTTCATATAGGGGTCTTCAACTTCATGTCAAGGCCTTTATAATTAGTAAACCCATCGATCAAACTTCCAATAATCTCGCCATTAACATGCAATCAGCAGCAGTTTTTGCAGCAGACGCCGTCCGGGTCGGCGCGGCAACAGGGGCAAATTGGGCACAGAGGTGGCGCGAAGGCCAATCCTGATAGCTCACCAGATTAATTAACATGAATCCATGTTTTAATCAATTTCTTTCGCAACAAAGAGAAAATCAAATGTACCTGGAGGTCGTTGGGTCAGCTGCCGGCGGCGAGAAGCTTCAGAAGAATGCATGAAGTTTGGGGAGAATAGCATGGCGACGATGAGGCATATCGCCATAAGAATATGAAGCTGTTTTTTCATCTTCAGAGAATTGGTGTTCGCCATTGTTGATGATGGAACAGTTTAGGTTGAAGAAGGAGTAATATTTGAGGTGGTTGATTTTAAGGCTTCTTGGAGAAATTCATTATTTATACTAGTTTTTTTTTTAGGGCTTAGGGTGGAGATTTGGATTTCAGCAACTTGAGTAGAGTGATTTCATTGTCATTTTAGGAAATTCTTCTTGTGCGAGGCTAGCTAAGCTAGCTGTGGGATTTCTTGTTCAGAAATTGTTTTTTTTTTTTCCTTGTGTAATATGGATTAATTAACTGATGAGCCAGCCAGACGAGTGAGAGAAAAGATTGATTAGCGTATGTATGGCAATATATGTGACATGTGAGTTATCGACAACGTACTTATGGAATATGGTTTGACCTTAAAAATTACCATTACTGTTCCTTAAGAAAAAAATCGGAATTTACTGTTCACTAAAAGATTTTATAATCAGATGTGGGCGTTTTTATATAAGCCTGAGTTCACCGTATTAGGTAAAGCAAATTTGGCGGTTGATTATTTTAGAATATATTCACATACATGGCCTCATAAAGAACCCGCGACAGCTCATGCCTGCCACCCTTCTTTTGCGGGCATCCCTTCCTCTCTTCTGCCTTACTTTTTGCCTTTTGCCATTCACTTCCTTCCTTTCCTATCTACAGTATAGACCCATCAATCGATCAACCGGCCCTCTCCCATCCCTATATTAAGCAAACCCCACAACTGAACTCCATCATCATTCCCACTCTATCAAGCCCAAGGTTGTCAAACCGGGTTAAGTCATTCAGCCGGTTTGACAAGGGGTTTGGAATTTAATGGTCGGATCGGGGTTCAACCGGGTTAAGCCACACTAATAGGGTTTACCATAATTAGATTACACTGTTCATTAGGGAATTGATTTCCTGGGGTCAGCTCTAATTTATTTCCAAGCTCTTTACTGTAATTTTTTGTTGGACTGGCCAAGTGAGGGTTTCAATCTTTTTCTTGCTGACAACCGAAATTCCCACCAAGCAAAGCCCATTGTCTTCTCCATTCCACCATTTTTATTCCAACATTTAGAGATTTCTAATAATAATAATTCAAACTTTTTATTGGTAACCATAATAAAAAAGCAAGCATAAAAAAATCTTACAGTATTGACGGTCCGACCGAAAAATCTTCTATCGAGTTTAAATTGGTAGGTTTTTTTAGCGCTATGAAATGGTTGTACAACGGTTAAACCACAATTTTAGAACAAAAAACCATACCACTAACTTTTTCAGTAACACCCCCAATTTCACCACGATTTCTTTTTCCCCTGTAGTCAAATATTTTTTTTTATTTCTGAATAATATCAATAGAGGACAAGAGTTATTCATACAAATCTACTCAGGACCCTTTACAATATAATCTAATGAAGCCACCCCAAAAAAATTGAAAGATTCTAGCTCTAGACGAGACAAAAGCAGTGTTTTACGCGCCACTCTATGGGCATCATTGTTGGCAGTTCTAGTTACCGCCCTAAACTCTATACAAATGGACAAAGAGCTAAGGATCTAACGACACTCTCGAAACCCCAGACCACCAATCGAGTCTTCTAAGAAGCCTTGCCGGATCTGCTTGACGACCACTTCGGAATCACCTTCGACTTGCGTATACAAATACATTACGTAAAACTTATTATTAGCTACAATGTTCATTATCTCACCAATTTGTATTACGCAAAAGTTCTGTAAGATAAGATACTTTTACATAGTAGTTTAATCAAATGTGATACTTAAAATAACTTACCTAATCTTATCATTAGACCACGCATTACAAAAGATTTACTTAACGTACGTTTTATAACAATTATGTAAATTAAAAATTCATACACAAAAACTTATAATCATTCCTTATGTATCAATTGAACGTGGCTTACCAAATAAGTCTTTCGTAGCCATAAGTTCTTTTTCCTCTATTGTTAACTATATTTGCGAAATACAAATACATTAAATAAAAGTTATAGAGTTACAATGTTTATTATTAGAAAAATTACTTGGAACATAGCTTATCAAATTGCGTTTTTCTCAATTTTGCATGATTTTACCATTAGACCACACATTACGAATAATTTACGTAACATCGTTCTATAACACTTACGCAAATGAAAAATTCATTCATAAAGCTTATAGAGATATAAGTATTTCGTATATTTAAGTTAAATATCATGTATTAAATAAATCTTTTGTAATGGCTAATACACTAGGTAAAACTTATGGAGGGATAATAATTTGTATGTATCAATTAAATAAATATAATACATAAATTCTCCATGGTATAAATTTGAATTAAATTCCTAAAATTTAACTAAACTATTAATCATCTCATTAATTTGCATTATACACAAATATTGGAATGGAAGTTAACTTTACATAACAATTCAATCATAGATTATATTATTAGTAACTTAAGGAAGTATTTTCCCAAACTATTTTTGAACTTTTAATTGGAACTAATTTATTAAATCAACTAATGTAATTTAAAATAAAATTAGTTTTTCACCGCAGCAAAGTGCGGGTCCAAAAAACTAGTGGCTTAAGTATCAAGTAACAAAAAATTACCAAAAATCGAAGTTACTGTTCCTTAAGAAAAAATCGGAAGTGCTGTTCACTTCGGGATTTTGGTTTCCTACCGACAGTTGTAACTGAGCCCGTGTTCACTAAGTTTGGGCTGGCTAAGTTAAGCCGTTGATCAATGATTCTGATAGCTAATCTTCTCAGCCCTTAAATTATTATCCTAAAACGCGTGCCTGTCTTCCCTCCTCTATTGAACTCTGTTCCTTTTTACAGCCATTCATTCCGCTCTCCTTTCCCCCCTGTCCTTTCTCTCTCTCTATGGTCCCATTCTTCACCGCGACAATCGCTTTTCTTCTTCTCCTATTTCTTTTCCGTGGAATCGAAACAAAACAAATGAAAGGGTTGTCGGGGAAGATGGATCTGGAAGAAGAGGAGCCTTCTCTGCGGCCGATCTATATTCCTGGCCTCCGTGAAGTTCGAAATCTCAAAATACTCAATCAGCACAGGGTTTAAGCTCTATACAGCGGACAAAATATGAACATAAATTAGGTGAATCGGATATCGGGTGAGGCTCAACTGATTAATTTCTCTTTCCCGTCTCCAAGTTGGGTCCCAAGAAGAGGAAATTAAGAATCATATGCAGAGTTGTTGCCAAGCGACCGAAAAAGAGGGCAGCCTCCCAGAATCAGTTGATGATCGTCCCAATTGTTGTCTCCATATATTCCTTCCCGGCGTTTCTTCTTCCCTCATACGGGGACTCTTCTTCCCGGAACCATTAAGCAGTTACAGAGGAGAGGAGGGAAAGAGAAGGGGATATTGAAGCCATCAAATCAAGGATGCAAAGGAGGTTTTGGGCCTTCATCACTTCTTTTAATCGGCGTTTCTTCTTCCCTCATATTCATATAGAGTGATTAAGACAAATGGGAAACAATCTCTAATATGACTAACTTAGCTCTCGGTTGATAGATCAATGAATTTAGTTGGGTGAATCATGGTGTTAAATAGTAATTATAATCTAATTCAACCTTTCCACCATCTAACCCTACTTATCAGCATGTATTGTATGTTATGAATTCCAAGTTTATTATTGTATGGGAAGGGAGATATACTTGGGTAATGATTTCCTATAGTTTGGTGGCTCTTCAGTAAATTAAATGGTCTTTTGATATTAAGGCTTCTACTTGCTTCTAATAGGATTATTGCAGCTAAATAGTTTGATTTTGATCATCTGATGTGTTGGATTACTAATATAAGGTTCACAGAGTAGTTCTTAAGCCACCCCTAATGCCCAATGAATTGGTTAGTAAGAAGGATCAATGGGGAGGCAGAGGAAAGTAAGAAGGATCATGTCATCTGAAAATTTATTATTTCTTGATTACTACCTTGAGTTAGCTTGCCATGCATATAAGTTTAGAATCGATGGTACGTATAGATGTCATTAGTGGTCAATGGATGCTTTGGTAGTATGCTTCCATGAGATTGGTATTCCAATTTGAATTTCTCTTTCTAATCCTTCCATGAGAGAAAGAGTGAAATTTATTTATACATGTCTATCTTCCCTGATGTTTGGTTAAAAAGCAAAGAAATGGGAGATGGAATCTTGCAAATAGGAACACAAAGTTAAGCAGGTTAACGTTATATGTTGTTTATGGTATTCACCACAGTTTGTCTTCTACGTTTTCTTACACTTTGGACCTATTATATTTTGCTATGGAGCTGGGAGGAAAGGTGATATACCAGAGGTGTTGATTCTTGCTTCATAGCTATAGTTTGTTGTCATCTATTGATCTGGTGGGATTTTGTTCCCCTTATGGATACTTAGAATTGAAGGAACTGCAAAGTTATCAAGTGCATGAACTGTAGAAAGTGGAATGGTTGGTAGGCATTGCAGTGTACCATGGAAGCGTGTAGTATCCAGTGAAAAATTTCACGTTAATTGAGACAATATATATATACTTATGCAGAGCTAACTTAAATAAAGATACGATGTTCTCTCTATTGGATACAAACTATTCGGGTTCGGTTCAAAGCCTTTGAAGGATGAAGGATCTTCGGTTTCGGCCTGGGTTCTTGTGCTTAAGCCCAAATGCTTAAGCATATTGCTTAAGTCATTCTATTGATTGATAGTGGATTAGGTAATTAATAAGGGGTTAGTAGTTAATAGATAGTTGAGGATAAATAAGATTATTATGCAAATATAATTGATATTAATAATTGATTATTCTCTTTCTCTCTCCTCACATAACTTTCTCCATAATCCTCTCTCTCCACTACAATTATGAGCAAATCTGAAATTAATTTAATTATATTTTAATATTTAATAAAATTCAAACTAAATAATTTTTTCTTATTTTAAAATGGAAATTGAAAATTAAAAATCTGCTCTCTCACTTCATGACAACATTTCGCAATGACATTATCATCGCTTATGAAATATATCATAATTACTATACCTTATAATTATTAACGATTTCAATATACGTATCAATTCTTTACTATTATATTATTAAGAATT